ATCAAATGACGTTACACCTTTCACAAAACAAAGTTTAAAACATTTAAATAGAACAACAACAAAACGATTATCATATAATGATGCTGTGGATTTGGAAGAAAAATTAAGTTTGTGTTCTATGAAAAATTTAGTACTTGATGAAGAAATTGTACCAGTTACTAGTTCACAAGAAGAAGTAAATCTAGAGAACTCACTTAATTTGAATATCGAACACTTTCAAGATGAAGAAAGTTCTGTTGAATTTATAGATGATTTTAATATTGATCAGGAAAGTTTATCTTCAACAAGTGACGATGATTTAGGTAATACAATGGTTATGTTAAGTTTTTAGGCTTCCATTTAGTACTTGATATCGATAAGATTTTTAGAAACACCTAAGTTTTTCCAACACAGCATTTTATATTATCTGAACTTTGAGTTATTCCTAATAGACTTTGATTTTTATTCGTAACACTATCACTGATCCTACATTTTAGTGTATAAAATTAGTTTATTCCCACTCAGTAATAAATTAAAGTAGATGAGTCTTATAAATTCTTTTGAAGTTACATCGGAGTATATATATATATATGTTGACGCAGGTAAAATCGCTAACATAACCCTTTTGTATTGAATTCTGGAAACCATGTGTATGCTGATAATCGAATAGAAGTTAGGGAAAAAACTCTTATGCAGTTAGAATCGTGCATTCAGCACGTTCTTTTTAACTGAAAAATTCTATGTCAATCTAATGAGAGAAGGCATTAAACAGTTCACCTTTTCTCATAATATTTTTCAACTATAAAGGTATTTTTAAAACATAGAAACTTTTGTCGATAGAATTCCTTTCTAATCCTTTAAGATCGAATCGCTGCTGAATATGATTTAAATATAAAACGAATTTTAAGATCAGTATACAAAACATTGGAACATGAGAATAAACCTTTTATGGTGACCAAAATTTAAACTCGATTGTGCTTCTTAACCTTTTTGTAGTTCATTTTCTCCTCCATTATTTTTACTTTATTTTAGAGTCCATTAATAACACTGATGATCATGCAGAAACTTTACAGACAGGTCAAATAGATTGTGAATTACACTCATTAACTCACGTTACAGTGGAAAAAGCTATGGTCAACTTATTACAGTTAATTCGACAATCACAAATCAGCAAAAAACAGTCCGAACGTTTATTATATTTTATTAAATCAATATTACCAGTTCCCAATCAAATGCCAAAAGATATGGATACATTATTAAAAGCACTTAATATGACTGATTATTTTAATAAAAGAACAATTTGTATTCTTTGTGATAAAGATCTTGAAAAGAACAAAAATCTATGCAGTAATTGTACTGGAACAGAAACAAAATATGTTGCTCATATTCGCGATACAGATAAGAAGCTATTTACAATGGACGTCTAACTAGAACAAATTTTCAAAAAACTCATTCATTCTAATATACTTCACCCTCTGTATTTAATAACATATTAGTTGCCATGTATTTTAGGAAGAGTTATGATACATATACTGAGGAGACTGAAAATTAGAGCAGTAAATGTGATTTGGTCTTCAAATGCCACAATGACAATGTTTGTCCTGGCCCCACTAACATCTCTGACATACACATAGAAAGCAAGTATACATTTAATATTCGATGAAAAACAATGTTACTCAATTTATAATTTTCTAGTATATAATGCTACGAATGATTATATAACGTTATGTGTAAAACTCATAGAGAACTATTTGATGAATCAAATTTAGGTTTTTTTAACCTGAATTCCTTAAAAAAACAGAACACAGAAGAATGGACAGATGCATTAGTACCTACATTATAAAAACTATGATCGAAGCTGAGTAGTAGACGGTTCAATAATCGAAAAGTGCTAGAATTCATTGAAATGTAGAAATTAAGTGCTCATTGATTGGTACACACCAATGCTCAAGACTACTTGAGACGTTTTAATTCATAGTGGTGTATTTGATGTTTGACAAACTTTTCAATTTTCTTTCACCATGAAGACAATAGTCACTTTTCATATGTTTTCTAAATTTTAATACATTTTACTCATGAATTTTTGATAACGAAATTTATCAAAAAAGTTAAACTAGGGAAATTCACCTTCATAATTTTGCAAATGCTTCGTTAAAAAGAGAAAAAGACAAAATCGTCTTGATTTTCAAAATAATTGAATTTCTAGTTCTCTATACAAACGACGATACATATGAATGTTTTTTATAAATCAATTATTATCAAAAATTGTATCAAGACTTGCAATAAACATTGAAGAATATAAAAAACTCATTTTAAATCCCAAAGCACACACACTATATGATATTCCCT